TCACTAATCAAAGAAAATCACAATTCCAAGTTCCTAGAACTTAAAAAGAAATTTAAAACCCAGAAAAACTTGTACCTGAGGATATCGGTGCTGTCCCTAGAGGAAGCGGGAATCCGAGAGACCAGCCGCGTGTCAAAGCAACCGACGGCGACGCTGGGAGAGAGAATCGACGGTAGTGTGAATGAGACTAAACCCTCCACAGAGAGAGAGAGAAAGAGATCGATGGTGAGCCACGGTGGTGAGAATTGGTGCAAGAGCTGAAGCCCGTTGGTGACAACAGAAAACTGAAGTGAGATTGAGAGGAGGAGAGATTGAGAGGAGGAGTGATTTGAATGATGGGGAGGGAGGTCCTTTTATAGGGATTCCCGGAATTGGTTGAGATTTTTGTGAAGATTTGTGGATGATTTTGTGGATGAATTTGAATTCACCTCCTCTTTCTCTTTAACTCATTCAAATTCTATTATTAATTATTATTAGTTTCAACACCCTCCCTAAAACTGAATTCTGTGGAAATCAGTTTAGGACTTCATTTCATCTCCTTGATATACATCTTGGATTCTGCATATCTCCATCTTTCTTCTGAGCTTCTCGAACAATGGTTGTTTCAAGGGCTTTGTGAATAGGTCTGCGATTTGTTCATCACTTCGGCAAAAGTTGAGTTCAATAATGCCTTCTTTACACAAATCACGCAAGAAATGAAATCGAACATCGATGTGCTTGCTCCTTCCATGCAACACAGGATTTTTAGACAACTTAATAGTTGACATATTATCACAATATATAACCGTCGTACTTGGTTGCTTCTGATTAAGAATTTCAACCATTTTTCTTAACCAAATTGCTTGACATGAGCATGCTGCTGCTGCCACAAATTCTGCTTCTGTCGTTGAGAGTGTTACAATAGGTTGCTTCTTTGAAGACCAGCAAATAGCTCCTGAACTCATCAAGAAAATACTTCCTGAAGTAGTTTACGATCGTCTATATCACCTGCATAGTCGCTATCTGTATAGCCAACTATCTTCGGATCATCTCCTTTTTTGTAGAATACCCCCAAATCAGAGGTTCCTCTCACATAACGAAGTATTCTTCTTGCTGCATTGAGATGTTTTTCCGTTGGATGCTCCATGTAACGACTTATCATACTAACCGCATACATGATGTCTGGTCTTGTTGAAGTTAGGTACATCAAACTTCCCACAATTTGTTTGAAGTACCTATTATCAACCTCTCGCCCGTCAATGTTCTTGTGCAAATACCTCCTTATAATCAATTCCATACTTTTGCTTGTATCCTTTTGCAACAAGTCGCGCCTTGTACTTATCCACCTCACCGTTTTTATTCAACTTGGTTTTGAAAACCCATTTTACTCCGATTGTTTTCTGCCCTCTAGGAAGATCAGTGAGCTCCCAAGTCTTGTTCTTCTCTATGGATTTGATTTCACTGTCCATAGCTTCCTTCCATTTCTTCTCTTTTACTGCTCTTCATAGACAATTGGATCACTATCCATAAAGAATGCAAAATAACCACTATCACTTGATTCATAATCCATCTCATAATCAATCATCCAGTTTGGTCTTTTTCTTGTTCTTGGATGTATTTGATTATGATCATGATCTTCTTCTACTGGTTCTTCTTGTTGAGCTTGTGATGAGCTCTCTCCATGCTCATAGTGAGGCTGAATAGGAGCTTCAGTTTGTTCTTCTTCAAGATCTACAGGAATCTGCTGATTCACAGTGATCTTTTCTTCCCATGTCCAAGTCTTATTTTCGTCAAAGACTACATCACGACTCACCACCACCTTCTTTGTCAAAGGATCGTAGAGCTTGTATGCCTTAGAGGTCTCGCTTACTCCAAGGAACACACACTTCGAACTCTTGTCCTCAAGTTTCTTCCTTTTCTCATCAGGAACGTGTGCATATGCTATGCACCCAAAGATTCTAAAGTGGTCTACTGCAGGTTTTCTTCCGCTCCATGCTTCTTGTGGAGTCATAAATTTCACATTCATCATTTTGGAATGTGATCACATACCCTTGTCTTCAGATCAGGAATGTAGAATACATTAGAAATAGACTCTACAAAGCCATTTCTAGTCTTGATATCTACGGTTTCTTTCCCCATCACTTGGAGAGATGAATTGTTGCCCAGAGAGACCGTAGTATGAAAATTTTCATCTAAAGTTGAGAAGAATTCCTTACAACCTGTCATATGATTGCTGCATCCAGAGTCTACAACCCATACACCTTGATCTGCAACCTTCATAGCATGGAATGACATTAATAATGTTTCTTCTTCTCTTCTCTCCATAAAATTGGATTGATTTCTTTTCTACTTTTGAAGCCTGGTATAGCATTCATTTTTGTAATGTCCAAGGCGTCCACATCTGTAACATTCCACCTTAGACTTGTCAAAGTGTCTCTTGCCTTTGTTGTCATAATCGTTTCTGACTAGGTCTGCTGACCTGCCAACATCTCCACTTCTTTCTCGACTGCCTCTCTCACGACCTCTGCCTCTTCTTTGGCTCTTCATAACCTGTTTCCACCATATCAAAGAACTCCTTTGATCTGAGAAAATTTTCCATCAACATCGCCCAATGATCATAGTGACCGTCGAACCTCGGGATGGCGGATTGGCTCTGAGGGCTGGGCACGGGGGTCCCAGTCCCGAACCCGTCGGCTGTTGGTGGACTGCTCGAGCTACTCCCGCGGCGAGAGCGGGTCGCTGCGTGCCGGCCGGGGGGCGGACTGGGAATGGCTCCTTCGGGGGCCTTCCCCGGGCGTCGAACAGTCAACCTTGCTCTGATACCAGTTGTTGGTGACAACAGAAAACTGAATTGAGATTGAGAGGAGGAGAGATTGAGAGGAGGAGTGATTTGAATGATGGGGAGGGAGGTCCTTTTATAGGGGATTCCCGGAATTGGTTGAGATTTTTGTGGAGATTTGTGGATGATTTTGTGGATGAATTTGAATTCACCTCCTCCTTCTCTTCCGTAACTAATTCAAATTCTATTATTAGTTATTATTAGTTTCAACAAAGCCAAGCCAATAGAAGTCGGCTCGAACCGATAGCAAGTCGATTCTAGGTAGAGATGGAGCAGGGCGAGGTGGCGGTAACGTTTATTTCATTTTACATTTTCGCTAAAATTTTCATTTATTTCGGTTGAATTTGATTTTATAGTAAATATTTTTTATTTTTTTAATTTAATCTTTTCGAATAATATTTTTAATACATAATTTATTTCTTACCATATAATTTTTATTTCAAAAATATAATATCATTTTCACAAATTAAAATATAATATAATATCTATCACCTTAATATTTAAAAAATTAAAATTTAATATTATAATATGATTTTTAAAAATAAATAAAAAATTTGATATTGTAATATATAAATAATAATAAAGTTATAAGATGTAACTCAGGCCAAACAAATATAAAGAAATTATTTTTTATAATTTATAATAGAAATATATATATATACACACGAGACAGAGTGAAAATTCAACGAGAGCGAAGACGGAGAATACAATCTTCATCTCGACCCCATTTCTCTCGAGTCTCTTTCCCATTTCCTATTTAAACAAACTCTATCTCGTAGAGTAAATGAACATTTCTGACCGCTAGATTTCTCCATCCCAATTTTTTCGATCTCCTCCATTTAAAAAATAAACTTGGAAATTAATAATGACTTTTTTTATTTTTCATTAAAAGAAGGTTCTCGTGCATTTTAATTTTTAAAAATTGTGTTTTGTCTCCGACATTTTCTTAATAATGTATTTGTCTTTTTTAATAAACATTGCATTTTTATTTAAAATTTAAAAATAAAAATAGCTTTTTAATATTAAATTTTGAGATATATAGACAACAAAATAAATAGGTAAAAATAGTGTTTAAAAAATTAAAAAAAATTCAGAAAAAAAATAAAAAAGCTGAAGAAAATAATAATGCATATTCATAAGAGTCATAATCAAACAGCTGGCTACTCCATGGACTACGTTCAATCCTCCTTTGTCATCATTCTTGCATCACTTTAACGCTCAATGTCATGCCCTTTAAACCTTTTTGGCTTTACCCTCTTCTTTTCTTGGTGGAGGGCCCTCATATCCATCAACCACACACACCCTATTGACCGAGTCCCCGAATACGTTAACATTATGTAAGCACGTATAAGTATCTTAAAATAAGTTTTGTTTCATAGTACGAGATACAAGCATATGTAAACACGTATACATCTGAAGATGAAAGTTTGTTATAATAGGAACTATTAGCCTAACAAATACACCAATCCCATCTGAACCTATTTCATTCTATCAAAGTATTCCATTATCGATCAAATGGGTAAAAACAAAAAACGGGTGGAAAAATGTAATAGCCCAAGCTCACGGTAGATATTAGTTTTTCTCAAGGTGTCTGTTAGAGAAAGGTTTCCAAACTCTTATAAAAAATGTTAGGTTCTCCTCCCCAACCGATGTGGGATCTCACAATTCACCCTCCTTCAAAGCCCAACATCTTCGCTTGCACTCGCTCCCCTCTTCCATCGATGCGGGATCTCATAATTCACTCTCTTTAATATCCCAGTTGTGATGTCCCACATTAGTTTGGGAAGAGAACAAAACACCCTAGCAGACGCGTTTTAAAGCCTCGAGGGGAAGCTTGAAAGGAAAAGCTGACAATATCTACCACCAATGGTCTCGTTGACACTCGTTTCTCTCTCCAATCAATGTGGGATCTCACATAAAAGATATACATAGAACAGTATAAAATGTAAATAGAACACTAACCTATACAAATCAACTACAGTAAAATGTAAATAGAACAGTAACATATAGAAATAAACGAGAGTGGACTTAATTACATACACATCACGGATTCCTTTCACGACTATTCAAAAGTAGGGTTGATTGGTTCGATTGACTTTTTGTCTTCCCAATGCCAATGCCTACTCCACTAGTAAATATGTCCAAGACCCGCTTTTTGTATTTTGTTTGCATATATAAAGAGAGTGGGATGGGAATGAATTAGCATAGAAAAAATGGAGGAGAAGCTTAGTGTAGTGCTTGTGGGTATGGTTCTAGTTCATGTGGCATTGTCTTCAAGGGTGGTGGGTATCCCCTTAGAAGATGAAATCAGAAGCTTGCCAACCCAACCGAGCCCTAACCCCAGTTTCAAGCAGTTTGGTGGGTATGTCACCATTGATGAGAAGCAAGGGAGGGCTCTCTTTTATTACTTTGTTGAAGCTCACTCGCAACCTGCTTCTCCTCTTGTTCTGTGGCTCAATGGAGGTAACCTTTACTTTCAAGTCTCGATTTGAATTGATATCTAATTGTTGTTATGAGATAGTCGTATTGTGCTAGTTTGATTAGAAATAATATGATGTTTCTTCTAACGATAGGTCCGGGGTGTTCGTCTCTTGGAGGAGGAGCCTTTATAGAACATGGTCCCTTCAAAATTAACGGAGAAATTCTGGTCGAAAATGAGTATAGTTGGAACACAGGTATGAAGATATTATCTCACTCCAATCATTTTGTTTTGATTTTTTTTTTGTGGGTGTCAAAAAAAAAAAAAAATCAACACTTAATTAATATTATATTTATTTAGTAAATTAGCATAAAATATTGATTTTTTCTCAATTCAAAATCTATAAAGTTTTTTAAAAAAACAAAATTGTACAAGAATTTACACAAAAATATTTGAGAATCTTTTAAACTTTTAATTATTGGTATTTAAATTTTAAAAATATCCAATGAATGCAACCAATGGTCTTTATTATATTTTAAAATTTTAAGAAATACTTGATCTATTATAAATTTAAATTTAAATTTTTTTTTTTTAATTTCAAAATTTATATTTAATAGACGAATGAATTTTATAAAATATCAAATAAGTTATAATATTAAAAATTATATTAAATAAAAAATTATTAAATATTTTAAAGTAATCCCAAAAACAAAATTTCACACCCGACCAAATAGATAATACTTTAAAGTTAAGGGACCAAATAAACCACAGATAAAAGTGTTATTAGTTAAATGATGTATAACAACTTAACTGCACCATTAATAGATATTGTCAACTTTAACTCGTTAGACATGATCCTTAGTCTCGCAATTTTAAAACACATCTATTAAAGTTTCATTCCTCTCTACAACCGACCTAAAATCTTATATGGTGTGTTTGTTGGTTTAGAAGCAAACATGTTATATTTGGAGTCACCAGCTGGAGTCGGATTCTCTTACTCTGTTAATAAATCTTTCTATTCGAGAATAGATGATGAAATTACAGGTGTTTCTACTCTCCCTATTTTATTTTATTTTATTAATTTTTAATCAGAAAAGATTGAATTTATTTGAAATCTGATAATTGGGGTTGGTTTCATTTGGTTAAGCCCGAGACAATCTCCTGTTTCTTCAGCACTGGTTCGACAAATTTCCAGAATACAAAAACAGAGATTTTTACATCACAGGGGAGAGTTATGGAGGTATTTAATTCTCTCCTCCTTTTTCACCTTCTTTTTCCTCTCCGCCTCCGCCGCCGCCGCCGCCGCCACCGCCGCCGATAATTGGGTTGAAGCTAACTTTGTGCCATGGTTGACTCCTTTGATAACAGGACACTACGTTCCACAACTGGCGCAGCTCATTCTTAGCTCCAAAGTGAATATCAGACTAAAGGGAATCGCTGTGAGTAGCAATTTTACTTCCATCTTTTCGTTTCGGTTAAGAATCATTATCCTCCACAACATATGATATTATCCACTTTGAACATAAACTATGGTGAATTTGCTTTCGGCTTCCCAAAAAGTCTAGAGATGCATTTCTTACCTATAAATCTATGATCATTCCCTCAATTCCCTCCCAACAATTCTCAACAATACTCCTCTTGAACAAAGTACACTATAAAACCTTCCCTCAGGCCCATGAAGCCATCGAATAACCTCCCCTTAATCGAGGCTCCACCCCTTTTCTGGAGTCCTCGAACAAAATACACCATTTGTTCGACATTTGAGTCACTTTTGACTATACCTTCATGACTCACAACTTTTTTGTTAGACATTTAAAGATTCTATTGACATATCTAAGTTAAGGGCATAACTCTCATACCATATTAGAAATCACAACGGATATTGTCTACTTTGAATATAAGTTCTCGTGGTTTTGCTTTAAACTTCTCAAAACGCCTCGTAACGATCGCGATATATTTCTTACTTATAAACCCACGATCATTCCCTAAATCAGCCAACGGACTCCCTCTCAACAATTCTTAATGATGGGTTGCTATGGATGCAGATCGGAAATCCTCTCCTAGATTTCGGGAACGACTTCAACGCAAGAGATGCGTACACGTGGTCACATGGCGTGGTTTCAGACTCGGCTTATAAGCTTCTAAGTTCAGTTTGCAACACTTCACGGATATATAAAGAAGTCCTTCAAGGCACCATTTCTCCAGATTGCTTCTTCGTTATTTCCCAGGTTTCCGAACAGTTCTCCAGCTTCATCGACGTGTATAATATCATCGGTGACGTTTGCCTCGCCGCCAACAATTCACAGGCTGCAGCTCTCCTTCATCCACTTTGGTCGCTGCTCTACACTGCCAAATCCACAACGCCGCAATTAGAGCCTCAGGCAAATGGCGTTGAGAGAGATATCTGTTCGCAACAAAATGCTGCCAAATACTTGAACAGGAAGGATGTGCAGCAAGCGCTCCATGCCAAACTCGTTGGAGTGGCTCAATGGAGTCTGTGCAACCACAATTCGTAAGTAAATGTAATCTTTGAAGGTTAAGATGAATGGTGTTTGAATATTGAATGATTGCTTATGTGCAGAGATTGGCATTATGATCGGACGGATATGTTTATACCGATGATTGATGTCGTTAGCTCACTTGTGAAGTCCAAAATCCGAGTCTTGGTTTATAGGTAATCTCGTTCTTATATAATATCCGAGTCTTGATTTTAAGCTCGTTTTTCTCTCCAACTGATATGGGATCGCCCCCACGTCTACTAAGGAGAGATTCCACGCCCTTGTAAGAGGTTTTCACACCAACCCCTTGAGGCCTCCTGCGTCTACTTGTGAGAGGTTTTCACATCCTTACAAAGAATGATTCGTTTCCCTCTCTAACTGACGTGAAATTTCACAATCTACCCATTAGTCTATTAGGGAGAGATTTTCACACACTTATAAAAAAATTATTCATTTCTCTCTCTAATTCAATGTGGGATCTTACAATTCACCCCCTTAGGCCCGAATCTACTCGGGAGACTCTAACCAATGTGGGATTTTACAATTCATTCCCTTAAGGTCTTCGTCCACTATAGAGATGTTGCACTTCCTTAAAGCCCAGCGTCTACTACAGAGAGGTTTCCACACCCTTATAAGAAATGTTTCATTCCCTTTTCCAACGGATGACGTGAGATCTCACAATCCACCCCTTGGGCCCAGCGTCCTTACTAACACATTACTCGGTATCTGACTCTAATACATTTGTAACAACTCAAGCCCACCGCCAATAAATATTTTAATATATTTGTATGAGGAGTAAGGAAAGTAAATGAAATATGTGTATTGATATTGATAACAGCGGTGATCAAGATTTAGTGATACCATTCACGGGAAGTAGAACACTGGTGAGTTCATTAGCGAAGGCGTTGGGTGTAAACACAAGCGTGGGTTACAGTGCTTGGCTGGTGGACAACCAGGTTGGTGGGTGGAGTGAGGCGTATGGCAAGTTTCTATCCTTTGCAAGCATAAGAGGCGCTGGTCACTTGGCTCCCGAAACTCAGCCCAAGAGATCTTTGGTGCTTTTCAAGGCATTCTTACTTGGAATTCCACTCCAACAAATCTCTTCTTTTTAGTAACCCTAATTAATAAATAAAGCCTCAGCTAAATTTACTATGATCGTGTACCTGTCTCAAAAGGTCTCGTACAAATGCAGAGAGTATTCAATAATTATAAATTCATAATCATTCTTTAAATTAACCGATGTGAGAGTCCTTTTTTCGATATTTGAGGATTCTATTGACATGACTAAGTTTAGGACATGGTTTTGATACCATATTAGACGAACACGACTTTCCACAATGATATGATATTGTCCACTTTGAGCATAAAGTCTCATGATCGTACTTTGAGCTTCTCAAAAGGTCTCATTTCAATGGAGAGAGTATTCTTTGATCATAAATCAATGATCATTCCCTAAATTAGCGGATCTGGCACTTCCATCCAACAATTTGAACGAACCCTTTTGAACTGTGGTTCGGATCGTAACTAAATTTAAAATTTAAAATTGCAACTCAGTATTTCAAATATTTAACCAACCAAATTGAGATCCTTCTTACTAAAGATACAACTCCGACATTCTTATTAATTGAAACAAAAAAGGTGGTTGTTATGTGAAATTGTATCTTGATTTGGTAATAATTAGAACGAGGATAACTAAATAGTCATTAATATATACAAATCTCTGTTGACACATCGTCGGGTGTCTAGCTCTGATATCATTTGTAACAGTTTAAGTTCATCGTCAGTAGATAATGTTCTTTTTAGTCTATTACATATCACCGTCAAGTTCAAAGGTTTAAAACACGACTGTTACACAGAAATTTTCACTTTTATAATAAATGTTTCGTTGTTTCTCCAACTTAGGTAAGATCTTAAAAGAAGAGATTATGAAAGCCCACTAACTAAAAGGCCCATATCGAAAAGCCCATGAATTTTTGGTCTGAAAGGTCCAATGGGTCTTCCTCTTTCTGAGCTCTCAGTTCTTTCTTTTTCACTCTCAGAAGCTTGGATTGGAAGGTGGGACCGTAAAATGGGAAGGTCTCTAAGAAGGAGAGGCGCCACCGGTGGTGACGATCTACTTCACGCCGCCGCCAGGAACGGCGACCTGAGTTCTGTCATTTCAATTTTGGCATCTAATGCTTCGTCTGTCAATTCCAGAGATAAGCACTCCCGGACTCCGTATCCTTACGTTTCCTCCTGTCAATTGTTATTTCCAGATTTTTTTTTTTTTAATAGAATTTTGTTGAATCATCATGCCTCCGTTCAGCTTAGTCAAATCCTTGGAATTTTTTCAATTAAATTGAAGTTGCTTAGGTTAGATTGTTTAAGAAGCTTTTTAATGGTTGTTTCTAGGTTGAATCAACCGAACAAACGGAAGTTAATTAATTTCTAAAAAATTATTTTGATATATAAAGCTATTATATCACCTGCCCATACTCTTTTTGAGTTTTTATCCTTCATTGATGTTTGGAAGTAATATGGCTATATTCCTGTTTTTCTTTGTGCATAATAAAATTTTAGGGTAAATAACTAGAACAATCTGATATCAATCTAATACTACTGGAGGATTAGAGATTGAATTGAGTTTTGTTACATTTAAGGGTCATTTGATTGAATAGAGTTTGAAGTTGTAATCTTTCATTTTAAAATTTGTATCCTTCAAAAGTTCTTTTTCAAGTCTGCCACTGGGCTCAATGAGACGAGTTATAACTCTTAGTTTGTTCTTGATGAGTGATTTAGCACTATGGTCTGGATAGGTCGCGCTAGACGTGATTTAACATCGGCCTCATGGCCATATCATCCATGACCAAAAAATTTCTTTTATGGGAAAATTTTGTTTGAGTGCTTAATGATTTAAAACTAGTCTGCCACTGGGGTTATGACTTACCTGCCAATGCTATCATTGAGTTAAATTTTCGAATATTATTGTAATGATTTTTAGCTTACTACAGGTGTTCTTAGGGCTGTACAACACTATTTTTGTGGGTACTAGTTCTACATCATGGTTGGATACTTTTTAGCCAGGTTTGTGCATTTCATTGCTGAGTTTGGGGGCTTTTTTACCTGCTTGATTTTGTTGCTTGGTTTGGGCACTCTCATGGTTGAGTTTGAGCACTCTTGTAGTTCGTTATTGAGTGGTTTGTTGCAATTTTGTGGGGATGTTATGGGGTTGATTCATGAACAATTACATATAGTTTTACAAGTATTTTACTTGATTTAAGATGGGTTCCTAGTGTATTAATGCTGATTTTTATCTGGACATAGATGCTCGATCCGTCCTCCTATCCAACACCTTTTACCATCTATGGTAAAGGTTGCATTCATGTTCTTGAAAGTCTTCTTTACCCTATGCTTTCAACTTCATCATAATATATGATGCTCTTCCAATGTCATGACTTCATCTGGCTCGACCGGGCTGGCTATCCCCTTATTCTTGTTAGTTTTTGCCAGTACACTACTTCTAGCATCCAAGCCCTTTGATTGTGTTTCCTTAACTCTTAGCAAACTTTGGAATATAGACTGCATTTAGCAGCATGGTCTGGACAAGCAGAGGTTATAAATTATCTATGCAAGAACAAGGCCGATGTTGGTGCTGCTGCCATGGATGATATGGCCGCAATACATTTTGCATCTCAGAAGGGACATTTAGAAGTTGTTCGTACTTTGATCTCACATGGTGGATCGACAAAAGCTTCTACTCGAAAGGGTATGACCCCACTGCACTATGCTGTGCAAAGTTCCCATTTGGAGCTTGTTAAGTACTTGGCAAGGAAAGGTGCAAGTTTGAGTACTAAAACGAAGGCAGGACAAACCCCTCTTGATTTGGCTAGCAACGAGGAAATCCGCTTATTCTTGGAAGAGCATGAAAAATCATCTAAGAAAGAAGAGCTAAAAGAAAAAGGGAAAGCCGGGACAACTCAACCACAGCCAACTGCGTCGGTAGAAGATGGGGCACCCACTGCAAAGTCGAACGAAACTGAAAATGAAGACGATTCAGGGGTTGAGCAGTCAAAGAGGCCAAGCGATGAAGAAAACCAGGGGATCGAGCAGTCAAAGAGGAAGAGTGATGAGGCTGTTGGGGAGGAAGCCTTGTCAAAACCGAAGAAGGCGAAAGTTGCCCTTGGCCATCTTCTAACATCGGATGACACACAAGAGGACGATGAAAACTCATAAAAGTGGCGTCGAGTGGGTCGTGTAACCAGCATCGTTTATATTTCCTTCTCCAGATGTGTATTATCAATTCCATAATTTTAGGCATAGACCATAGACCTTTGAAGGTAACATACTTTTGTTTTAGCATTTGTATCTTCCTAATTTAACCTTCACTTCAAAGGGTTGATAGATAGTTATCTCTAACCCTTCTGTCTTAATGTTTCTGTAGTTGAATGTGGAAAAAAATTATACTTCGGTATATAAGGATTAAGTTTGAATGAAAAAGAAAGAAAGAATAAGATAAAAAAAAAAAAAAAGATAAGATATATGGTTGTTTGTTAGTTCATATTTTAAATAATGTATTTAAAAATAGTATAAAATATATGGATATTTGATTGTTATTTTATTCCTATTATAAATAATATATTTAAAAATAATATAAAATATATGAATAGTCGTTTGCTCATTTATTATAAAATATTTATTTATTTCCTTTTTTATATAAAAATGATATTTGTTTTCTTAAATAGAAAGTTAACAAAATAATAAAATAATATAAAAGAAACTAAGTAAAATAATAAAAGAGTAGTGTAGAGAGATGTATATTATAAGATTTTGTTCGATTCAGGTCAATCCGAAGTTTTGTCCAATGAACTCGAAATTCGAACCGAATCTATTCAGGTTAAAAAATATTAATCCAACCCAATCAAAACCGTATAATTTATGTTGGGTCTGTTCGAGTTATCAAGTTTAATGTACACCTCTAGTGTTTATAACCCAAAATTAAAAAGATAATTTTAATCCTAATAAAAGTAAACAAAGAGCTCTTTTCGATAAATTTGGATAAATTTTTTAGTTGGAGTAATTTTATTTCATCCTTTGTGACCTACCCCGAAGTGTAACCTTTCCTGTGTGTTTTAATAAGAAATAGGATAAAATAGGAAGAGGAGAGGAGATTCGAAAATCTGTCCTATATACTTGCTCCTGTAGATGATCTAAATTTATTGACTTAGTATTAGAACGATAAAGCAAAAAAAGAGAGTTTTCATGAAACTTGATTCAAGATATATATTTGTTCGTGTCTAACTTGTTTAGTTTTGAGTTAGTTTATTCGATCCTCAAATTATAAAAAGTGACTACTAGATTTCTAAGCCTTCAATTTTGTGTCTAATGTGAGAATATTTGCTAAAACGCCGCACCTTGGAAATAGTAACAAATGGAAACATTCAGCAAGAAGGCAAATATTATAAGATATATATGATAAACTCTAATTTAGTATTAAATATCCTTAACATAATAAAATCACCAAAATAAAAACATCCGATAAAAAAATCGGACAATTGTTTAGGAAATATATACTAAACCAATAATTTAATAAGTAGACTTTGTACGGATAATCAAAAACTTGGCAAGTTTATTGAGATTGATTGAAGGCTTTTCCTTCATGCATATACAGAACAGGAAAACCGCATATGCCTTAAAGAGGCAATATGCGCCTAAATGATTGGTTTCTAAACTCATCCATCATTCATTATTCTCAACACAATCTAAAACCCAACAATAATAGGGGCCAACCAAATTTGATGAACCACATGACAGCACAGAAAACCACTCTCAGCTGTTCAACACTTCCAGCTGAACAAGCCATGAAACTGCAAAAACAAACATGGCAACATAATAATTTACAGGGAAAGTTCTTTCCAACAACATAAAAAAGAATGTGCCACGATGATATAGGACGATGGATTCGAATGTACTGTACAAAAGAATAGGGGGTGGGGGAGGAATGAACATTTTTATCTTCTATACTCACTGATATTTGCAGGTTGCATAGCAAAATTCAAACCGTGCTCAAAAGAAAGTAAACGACGCATAGTTTACCCATTCTATATATATATTTATGTATATGATATAATCTCTACCTGTAGATAATAAAGAATATAAGGAATGATATCTAGACTCAATATTCACAAAACTGGCTTCTCCGGACTCCATGCATCCCATTGCCTGACCATTGCTGGCTAACTGGTCCACTAGGATTAGAATTCAAGCGGTTCCAACTTTTGGGAGCATTATTATTATGTTCATCAGCAAAATTTACTCTCTTCCTTCCTCCTCCCCTCCTGTTTCTCCACCCATTTTCCTTTTGATACCCATCACCATGAAATCTCGAACCCTTGAATGTCGAAGAATGGTACCAATTTCCACCCGTGTTCTTGCAGTTTGCATCCCGTGTTCTCCATATCTGACTTGTGAACCTGTTGTCTGATTTATTGTGATTGTAATCGTTATTGTAACTGTAATTGTATTTGTAATTGTAATTGTGATTCTGATTCTGGTTCTGATTCTGATTAGTCCCCCAATCATTCCAACCAACTGAATTATTCAAATACTCGTCTCTCAAAGCTCCATTGTTCTTGGAAGCATAATTCACCTCCCAAGAGTTTTGTCCATCGTCCACCTTCTGATCACAATTACCATTCTCTGCTTCCGGTTTCTGAATATCAAGGTCGCCCCATCCGGTGCTATATGACTGATACAAGCCAAAAATGTGACAAACTTTCCCAGCCACTTCACCTTCCTCCCCAACAACTGGGGAGATTTGTTCGTTTTCGAGGTCTAACATCAGATCAGGGTCAACGTCACAATTCCAATCGATCTCATCGATAAAAATGTCAGGATCAGGCAATGATATATTGCAATGCAGGCCATTGATTTTTGCCCAGAACCTACTCTTTGCATTGTGAAATGCTTCTTCGCATGCCGTGTCGTTCCATTTAACCACGTTTTCATAGAGGAACATACACTTCTTTGTATCCAACAGTTTCCTCCATGGAATCAACCCAACAGAAGAACAAAACTTCTTTTCCCACGATGGCACGTCGGAGTGCCGATTACCTGTAACAAATAAGTACATACAAGCCCCCAAATAGCCATTAGACAACAAATTCATTCGCCAGTAGGAAGGGAAATTCATACTTCTAAAATCAAATACCCAAAAGAAGCAACAACACAAAACTAAGGTCGCTTTCAAAGATGAAAGACGAAATTGATATACAAGACAGCCAAAGCTGAAACTACTGCGTAGCTTACAGTATAAACATGCCTAACAAACGTAAACAGATCAGAATTTGCTATAAAGCTACAACAGATCCAAAGAAAACTTGGAGAAAATAGATTAGTTATTGTTGGAACTAAATGCAGCCAATATTCTGCAGAACGATCATTCATTATCAAAGAACCATCAAGAATGGAAGTATTAAAAAAAAAAAAAAACGAATCATCAACATATAGAAACCATTATCAAACAAAACAAGAAGCATCGAACTCAGCGAAATACAAAATATAAATGTATCTCGAATCGATCACCGAAAACGTGGAAAATTCTCGAAGAACTCCTTTTCTTTACGTAACTAAATGAAACGAAAACCGCAGCTCGTACAGATCGCAACCGACATTAATCGCAAGAAACAGAGAAACAGAAACAAAAAAAAAAAAAAAAAAAAAAAAAAAAAAAAAAAAAAAAAAAAAAAAA